GTTAAAAGAAGGCCAAATAAAAATATTTTGTTTGGTACCATGAATTTAAAAAACATTTCAAAAAGATTCCATCAGGTATGCAGTGTATTGCAGTATAATTGACAAATTAGGTTAGCACAACATAAGAGGCCTAATCTTAGATGTGAACATAGTTCTAGTAATGATAAAGATCAGATTTTCTATCTAAAATATCCTTAATAAGTAACAACCCGAGTAACCAAATTAAACCATAAATATGATTATTAATTAATTAATTATATATTAAGTTAGACGATCATTTAAATAAAATAAAATAATTATAGATAAAGTTTTATATAGATAATCATTGTAATTCATTAATTAATTTATCTTTTTAAAATTGTGCGACTCCAAACGATATTTTAGTATAAAATATATTAAATAGAATTAACATTTATATAGAATGAGATATCGCACATTTTTAACAATCTAACTATTACTAATAAGTTACAGCTTGTATTCTCGCTCACCCACATCCTAAAATAGGGCTATTAGGCCACCTCCGGCCACACCTCCAAGGTCTTTTACTTTCAATAATTAAATTGTGTTAAAAATATTATAATTTAATTTTTAATATTTAAATTGTGTGAATTTAGTGTTTAATATATATAAATTATTTTAATTTAATCTCTTATTTTAAATATGTTAATTGACGCACTATAAATATTGAGAATCATTTCCTGACTTTATAGGCCCTTGTGTCCTTTGCATACAATAATTGTCCATAAACTTTTGTAGCCACAAATTTTTTTTTGCTTTCTTTTAACTTTTCTTTCTTATGGGTGTACCCCAACATTTTTGAGATGCAATAAATTAATAAATTTTATAATTCCTTTTACTTGCATGAATTATTCCTATTATTTCATTTATAATACACATTTATGTGCCACACCAATAAAAAAAATATAAGATAAAATATATTTAGAGAAAATATCATTTTATCCAGTAAACTATTACTCAATAATCAATTCAACTCTGTTCTTTTAATAATATCAATTTCATATCTAAATTATTTGATTTTACATCAATTTTACTCCACCGTCAATTGTCGTCAATAATCAAACGGATGTCACTAATGTGACAACCAAACTTCATTTTGAAATTTTTATTTACTCTCCAAACTATCCCCACAATATCAATTAGACCTTGAATAAAATGAAATTCAGGGGTGTAATGATAATTTAGAGATAGTTTGGGATAAAATAAAATTTCAAACGAATATTTAGTGTCATGTCAGCATTCTGTTTGATTATAAATAGTAGCTAACAGCATGGATAAAATTGATAAAAATCAAATTGTTTATCTGTAAAATTGATAATATTAAAAGAATAGGGGTTAAATAAATTTTTAAAATGATATTTCCTCATCTATTTATCATTCTTAAAGTATGAATTTTATGTTACTTTAATTCTTTAAATTTTAACTTTTTCAATTTTGTCTCTGAATTTTTAATTTAAATAAAATAGGTCTAATTTCAAACGGTCACTTAAAGTTATCAAAAACAATTATAAATTTCAAGTGTACTTTCTAAATTATGCCTTTTGTGTCA